TAGCTGGGTGCACATGAGGTCAGGAGTGCACTTCTACTATGTACAAGTTCGGAGTCGTTAGGTAAAATAAAATACTGGAGGGAATGGGCCTGGAGTCATTGCATCCATCCTAAGTCCTCTCACTGTGTCCTCACGTGGTCTTTCCTCTGTGCACACACGTATCTGATCTCTCTCTATGTTCTAATCTCCTCCTTTTAAAAATATATTTATTACAAATCTCTACTCTTGAATCACTGTTTTACAGGGACTACTTGGAAGTGACTTTTCGTGTTTCAGGGTGTGCAGACAATGCCCATTATTGTAACACCTTATTTTCAGATAGTTGTCTCTGTCTCCTTGGTCTCAAAACTTGAAACTCATGTTTGTCATATCTGAGTTCCTTCCAGGAACAAGCTTAGGAAACAGCATGTTCCCTTAGGATGTCAAGGCAGGGCTCACGCCACAAAATGCATGAAGACACTCAAGAGGGCACATACCTTCTTCCTTTGGGCTCAAAGATCAGTCAAGTGATCCCAGTGTTTCCATGAGCCCTGATAAATTCAGTCAACTGTCTTCCTGTTTCAAAGTCCCATACTTTCACCATCTGTATCAGGAAGTTGAGGGAAAAAATGACCTAGAGGTAGGGGCTATCAAAGGGAATTTTCATTTAGAAGCCTAGTGCCATAGATACTAAAGACAGACGTTTATTCTGAAAGTATCTGTACTTCCAGTGCCAGTTAGCTTACCTGAGTACCTTTGCTTCTTAGGGCTGCCACAATAGAGTACCATGGACTGGGTAGCTTAAACAACAGAAATTTGTTGTTTCATAGTCTGGAGGCCAGAAGTTCAAGGTCAAGCTGCCAGCGGGGTTTGGTTTCTCCTGAGTCCTGTCTCTTTGACTTGCAGACGGACGTCTTCTCACTGTGTCCTCACGTGGTCTTTCCTCTGTGCACACACATATCCGGTTTCTCTCCGTGTCCTAAGAGGAGACTTTTCTCATAAGGACACCAGGCAGGATGGTATAGGGCCTACCCTAAAAACCTCATTTTTTAACATGATCACATTTTTAAAGGCCCTGTCACCAAATAAAATCACATTCTGAGGTAGTGGGGTTTAGGACTTCATCGTATCAATTGGGAAGTGTACAGTTCAGTTCATAACACTCAGTGAGAAAATTGCAGGATTTAGAAACCACAAGGTAAAAATCTGACCACTTAGATTTAGAGAAATAAGTGTGGATTGAATTTTGAGCAGCAAAATTTATTAATTTATTCACTAACAGGGCAATGCTGAATGAGAATAGTGACATGTGTTTTGGGGGATATATCTTAAACACTGCCTTAAGATGTCAGTCAGCTGGGTGCGGAGGCTCATGCCTGTAATCCCAGCACTTTGGGAGGCTAAGGCAGGTGGATCACAAGGTCAGGAGTTTGAGACCAGCCTGGGCAACATGGTAAAACCCCATCTCCACTAAAAATACAAAAAATTAGCCAGGCATGGTGGCATGCACACCTGTAGTCCCAGCTACTCTGGAGGCTGAGGCAGGAGAATCGCTTGAACCCAGGAGGCAGAGGTTTTGGTGAGTGGAGATCACACTATTGCACTCAGCTTGGGTGACAGAGCAAGATTTTGTCTCAAAAAAAAAAAAAAAAAGATGTCACTCAGTCTAACCAGTTTCAGTCTTGCAGTCACTTTCTTGTAGTCCCATCCCTTGAGGAACTTTCGAATGAGAAGACTCTCCAAGGGAGCTGAGTGGCATCTTTCATGACTGGTTGAGGCCTCTGCCCACTCTGAGAAGGGCGTACTCGAGGGCAGGCTTCCAGGAGCCTGCACCCAAAGTCCTCTGACCAGGAATTGAAACCTGTCCAATTGTCCTATAGAATTGATATTTACATAAAAATAAATAAACATAGAAATTGATTCTCCTTTGTCTTAAAACTTAAAACTTACATTTGTCTCTCACCTGAGTTCTTTCCTCAGTAAACCAACCCTCCAGCAAGGACCAGATCCCTCATCCATCATGATGGCTTCCTTACCCTCCCTAGTCCCTCTTTTCCCACCTTCCCTGCTGTATAAATTCCCTAGTTGTAGTCAGATTGTTACCAAAGGGTCCCTATCCAGACCCCGAGAGAGGGTTCCTGGATCTCGTGCAAGAAAAAGTTCAAGACTACTCCATAAAGTGAGAGCAAGTTGATTAAGAATGTAAAGGAATAAAAAAATGGCCACTCCTTAGGCAGAGCAGCCCCAAGGGCTGCTGGTTTCCCATTTTTTATGGTTATTTTTAAAATTTTTATGCAAAATAAGAGGTGGATTATTCATGCCTCCCCTTTTTAGACCATATAGGGTAACTTCCTGACCTTGCCATGGTATTAGTAAACTGTCACAGTGCTGGTGGGAATTTAGCATTGAGGATGACCGGAGGTCACTCATCACCATTTTGGTTTTGGTGGGTTTGGGCCTACTTCTTTACTGCAACCTGTTTTATCAGCAAGGTCTTTATGACCTGTATCTTGTGCCACCCTCTTATCTCATCCTATGACTTAGAATGCTTAACTGTCTAGGAATGCAGCCCAGTAGGTCTCAGCCTTATTTTATCCAACCCCTATTCAAGATGGAGTTGCTCTGGTTCAAATGCCTCTGACATTTTTCTCTTCCCTTTTCTAAGAGAACCCTTAATCTTAAGGATTGCAGAGGGATAAAGATCCATCTTCTGGATAAAGATATTCCTGCCTAATTATTAGGGTCTCTTGTATTTGAGGGAGAGAGGACTCAGTCAGAAAGTGTCAGTATGGTGAGGGTCATTCATAACTCAAGCTCTGACAAAGGTGATATCTGAAAGATTAGTAAGAGTTTAACTTAAGAAAACATTTGGTAGGATTATCCTGCATTCCTACACAAAAAGTACATCAATATATTCCACAGAGTAAAGCAAAATAAATAAAATAAGAAGGCTTCCCATGTGCCGGGCAATTGTTGAAACAAAGCTGATATGGGGTTGTTAATCGATTCCATTACATACCCAGAATTAGAATACTGATCCAGACTTTTACATTACCCATCCCTCTTGTTTCTTCTGAGCTGCAGACAGAGACCACTGATTGGCTAACAGGAATTAGTGACTAAATTTCAGAAACAAACTTAAACACCACTGATGAGACTAGAATCTAATAACAGCTGTACCATATTTCCTGAAACATAATTTTTTTCTCCTTCCAGTCTCTCATTTTTACTAAAGACAAATCATAATAAAACTGATTTGTTTGTAAAAATAAGCCTTAGTTTTATACTTGGCCTGATTATTTGTATAAAGTGCAGCAAGAATTTTTCTTTTTTTACATAGGCTTTTATAATTGGCTCTGATGGAACTTTGTTTCATAAAGGAATTTCACATAAGAATTTTTTAAAGCTGAGCCCAGCCATGGATTTGTACCCTAAAATACCTATGAATTGAGTAAATTCCTCTCCTCTTGAGGTCTCCAGATAACCTGGGGCTCCTGGACCTGTCAGAAAGTGACATTCTTTACTTACCACGGGTCAGGAACTATGCACAGTGGCTGTGCAGACAAGGCATGAGGCCAGTTTTCCCAGGGGCTTTTATTGGCACTGTAAGACAAGTTTGATTCTATAAAAGAAAGCATGCCATTCCAGTCAAAGCCTTTGTAAAACAACCAGTTTCTCCAATTGTTTTCTGTTACAAAAGAAAACAGATTATTATTGCACTTATGCAAATAGCTATATTGCCAAAAATTAAGAATGCACACAACTAATTTCCAAATTCTGAGAGAAACAAATATGCTCCAAATTTTGTTTACAGGAGTATACTTTACTTAATTGTTAAAAGCTCTAAATAGCTTAAAAGAAAAGTTTATTTTTTTAACTATAAAAAACAAAACAAAAGATTAGTGACAATTTAAGCAAAAAGAAAAGATTACTTCAGTCTTCTATTAGTTCAGTCCATTCAGTTAATTTCTATTCTTGATATTTATAACTATTTCAGCTCACTATAGGAGTCCTGAAAGTTTATTTCCTCTACTCTAATGTCACATCTCCAAAGTTATTAGAAACCTGCATTCAAGAGCACCTGTCAAATTCCTATAGCTGATTTTAAAACAACCATTTGAAGAGGACCAAAACAAGACAATTGTCTGTGAATGACAAAATATCTTGGGGTAGCCACAGTCAAAACATGATTGACAAAGAAATTTGATTACCTTTATGGGATACAATGATTTTATGTAACAACTGTTACTGATAACATACACCAAATCATCAGAATTATAGGAGTTTCCCATTATTTTGGAACACATGCCAGTAGCATACTTGTACAAGTACAGCCCAAAGAGAGCCAAACCCCATCTCATATTTGACAATGCCTCCTGTATGATTTTTATACCAAATAAGCCAAATTTCAGCTTTACATCAGTGTACTATTAATGTTAAACCCAATTCTTAAAAAAACTTAGATCAATCTATCCAATTTTAATGTAACATTTTTATAAACCTTTTATAATCCTTTATAATTTTTGTGAAAGAGCACATTCATGCTCTATGAAAAACCTGTTTGTGCCTTTGTTCCAATGTTTAATTTACAGAAAAACTGACTAATACCACTTTAACTTTAGCCAGTGTTCACACACAGAATTTTTTACAAGATTAATTTTTCACAAACCATCAACAATTTATTTAAACCTTCACCTTTATCCTAACTTAAAACAATCCTTTACCCCTCTAAACTAAGCAAAACAGATCCCCCAAAACATTCCCATGACTTCCTATAATCTTTCACCAAAAGTATATTTTACTTTCTTTACATAAAAAGACATTATACTTTTTACTTTTCTGACAAAATATTTGATTTAAGCACTTATTATTTTAAAATGAATTAAAGCTTTTTATGTTAAACACAACACATATAAATACACAGATGGAAGATTACTTATAAGATTTTTTCATTTGCCAGTTTTTAAATTGGATTACTGGCTTCAGGGTGGAGGAACAGGGTCATGAAAGCATGTGGTTTCTAGGGCCTAACAAGCAGGCACAGCTGGAAGGCAAAACAGATCTCCCAAAATTAAGAGTCCTATTTTATACCAGATCCTGGACCCCCTCAAAAAGGGGGTCCACCCTTTTTGGGAGTCCACCTCCTGTGGGAGTCTTATCCCTCAGTGGGAGATAAGAAGGTATTTCCATGCCTTCTAGGTAGCCAGGAGCATGTTTCCCTGATTCAAACATGCAAAGAGCTGTGTATCGCCCCATAACTGCCATTAGCCATCCACAAAAGTATATTTCCTACCTAGTTATTGCACACCAAAGCTTTCTCATAACTGAAAGCAAATTTTGATACCTGCAAAAATTAAAACATCAGATAACATAATGCAAAACAGAACATAGCCTTAGATTTTGAAGAGGGATCTATTCACTTTCAGTTCCTGGGGTTTTATGAGGAAAACAGAGGTTTTTCCCAAAATGGGGTCTATGGTACCATCTATTTTTTTCCAAGGAGTCCCAGGCTGTTAGACCTTGAATATTCACTTCTAATTAAGCTGACTTTTAACTGTAGCACTCTTTTAAAAGGTTTTTTTTTTTTTTTTTTTTTTTTTTTTTTTTTTTTTTTTTNTTTTTTTTTTTTTTTTTTTTTTTTTTTTTTTTTTTTTTATTTCTTATTATCTGACTTTAGCCAGGCCAAATGGCTGATATTTCTGGCTTTTGAACTTTACTAAAGGTAAACTTCTAGGTGCTTAGAGAAAGGAAAATTCAAGCTTGTGGAGGGTAATTAACAAATGGTAAAGATCATGCAGGTATCAAACCAGAAAGTATTCAGTCCCTGAGCCAGGACTGAACCAGTACCACTGTTGTGAAAAGAAAGCCTGAACTTCTGAGCTACAGCACTGGGCAGTTTCCACCACTTTCCCCGGAACGAACCTAGAGCAGTCAGTTTTGAGCTTGCAATGTCTTTTAATTGCTCAAGATAGTTTTTAGGACTGACAGAAACCCCAAAATTCCGGTCCTCTGGATGGTGGAGACCAAGAGAAAGCATTGCCACATGGTTACAAGGTCAAGCTCCCAAGGACATTTTCAACATGTGGCTTGTTGTCAAGATGGTCACCTTGAGTAATAGAAATGGTAAGAAAGGGAGAAAAGCATTACCTATGGCAGGATGGGGAAGGTGAAGAGCTCAGAGAAGCCAGAGAAAGACCCACCCATTGTGGCAGACACTGAATCAAAAGTTCAGGCAGCTTCTTGTTGGTCGAGAAGGGATCTTTTACAGCAATCCCATCAGCTCTCAAGTTTCTTTCTTTTGGAGGGAAAAAGGCTTCCCATCTCCCATTATCCTGTACATGCCTAATCCTGTCACCCATAGCCATCAGCAAAGAGATCAAGACAGATGAATCCAAAGAGAATAGTGGTTAACATCCTGTAGTGCCAAACCCATTCGTATGTTCTTAGCTGAGAGCGACTTTACCAAGTGGGGCCTCCAACCCCCTAAATCTTAGGAAGCACTCTAACCTTCCTAGATTGGGCCTCAAGCATCAAGCATCCTTTCCTTCTATTAAGAGGGGCCTTTAACTCCCTCTGTCTTAAGAGAGATTCTAACTCCCCTAAGTTGGGCCTCTAACCCAATCCTATCCTTTACCTGGGAAAATGCACCCCACTTACCCAAAGTCAGCCATATGGTGCTGCAGTCTATTTCCTTTAGGTTGGGTGGGGGAAATCTCCTCAGTATCATCCCTTTGTGGTCACCAGAAGGATGTTACTGGAAAGAGGTCCTGATCCAGACCCCAAGAGAGGGTTTTTGGATCTCACCCAAGAAAGAATTCAAGGCAAATCCATAAAGTGAGAGCAAGTTTATTTGGAAAGTAAAGGAATAAAAGAATGGCTACTCCACAGGCAGAGCAGCCCCGAGGGCGGCTGGTTGTCCATTTTTATTGTTATTTCTTGATTATATGCTAAACAAGGTGTGGATTATTTATGCCGCTCCATTTTAGACTCTCTAGGGTAACTTCCCGATGTTGCCATGGCATTTGTAAACTGTCATGGCTCTGGTGGGAGTATAGCAGTGAGGATGACCAGAGGTCACTCTCATCACCATCTTGGCTTTGGTGGGTTTTGGCTTGCTTCTTTACCGCAATGTGTTTTATCGGCAAGATCTTTATGCCCTGCATCTTGTGCTGACCTCCCAACTCACTTTATGACTTAGAATGCCTGTCTGGGAATTCAGCCCTGTAGGTCTCAGCCTTACTTTGCCCAGCTCCTAGTCAAGATGGAGTTGCTCTGGTTGAAACACCTCTGACATGATGGGGAGATGGGTATGAGACTTTATCTCCCTCTCTCCTTGGGAGTAGCCCCAGATTAAAGCTTCCTTCCCTGGCAACGCTCATTGTCTCAGTGATTGGCTTTCTGTGTGGTGAGCAGCAGGACCTAGACTGAACCCCTGGTGTTTCGATAACAGAATCTCTAAAAGACGGTGAAGTGACAATGTGGGAGGAGAAATCACAGGGAGACAGCATCTTTTCTAAAAACTGTTGAATGTTTCTTCTGATATGCCACTTTGTAAAAGAGGCAGCTACATTGACATGAAATTTCTGGGTCTCTGAAAGACTCACCCATTGTGGC